TTCCTCATCTTGTTTTCCACAATTCACAAGCAACAGCAAGCATTTTCTATAATTTTATAAATGAAACTATATGGTGTGTACTTTTTAGGGGGTGGGGCTCTGACTTTTTCAGTAAACATAACTAAGGTTAATCCATTATCTTGTTGCATGAATCAATTGTTTACTCATTTATATTGCTGAGTAGTATTTCATTGTATACCACAAGTTTTCTTTTTTGTCAACTTAATTGTTACGGATGTTTGGGTAACTTTCAGATTTTGGCTACTACAAATAAACCTCTGAAGATTCGTGTGCAAGTTATGGCTGAATGATATTCCGTTCTATAAATATACCTCAGTTTCTTTATCCATTTACTTATTGAAGGACAGTTGCTTTCAAGTTTTGGCAGTTATGAATAAACCTACTACATATTTGTATAGTTTTTCTGTAGATATGTTTTCAACTCATTTGGATACATGCCAAGGAGTGCAATTTTCTCTGTCATATAGTATGTTTAGTCTTGTAAGAAACTGCCAGGCTGTCCTCCAAAGTGGCTCTACCATTTTTATTTTATTATTATTATTATTTTTGAGACAGAGTCTCGCTCTGTTGCCCAGGCTGGAGTGCAGTGGCATGATCTCGGCTCACTGCAACCTCCACCTATTTTAGTTGGCCAGGCTGGTCTCAAACTCCTGACCTCAAGTGATCACCCTCCTTGGCCTCCCAAAGTGCTGGGATAACGGGGGTGAGCCACTGCGACGGGCTGTGGCTGTACCATTTTTGCATCCAATTAACAACGAATGAACGAACATTCCTTTTGCATCTCATCCTAGTCAGCATTTGGCGTTTTCAGTATTTTGGATTTTAAAATGCCATTCAAATAGGTTTGTAGTGGTATGCCATTGTTGCTTTAATTTGCAATTCCCTAATAACACACAATGAATATCTTCTTTTTTAAGGCAGGGTTTCTTTTTTAAAGGCAGGGTTGTTTTGTTTTGTTTTGTTTCGTTTTGTTTTGAAATGTGCTGGGATTACAGGCGTGAGTCACTATGCCCAGCCTGACTGCGGTTTTTTTTTTTGTTTTTTTTGTTTTTTTTTTTGAGACGGAGTCTCGCTCTGTCACCCAGGCTGGAGTGCAGTGGCCGGATCTCAGCTCACTGCAAGCTCCGCCTCCCGGGTTCACGC